GAAGAGTTCCAGCCCCACCTTCCCCATCCAAGGGAATCAGAGATTTACATCTGTGTACTTACTTTATATACTGCTGATTTCTCGTGCCAAGAGCTCTTCCTCAGTTAAGATTCTGGAGTAAGCAAAAATCCAAAGGGTCTGGGAGCCAGCTTGCCTGGAAGTCTCAGAGACCACAGGATGAACCCAGCCTGAGAGATAAGAAGCATTCTGCACAACTTATAGCCCAGTGTTAGCTGTTGTTTATATTTCAGCGTGGTTGATCCCAGCAGTGATAGGCCAAGATAAACACTGGTGATGTGTACTTTGAACTCCTTCTGCTGTCCACCGGCGGACCAGGGTCCAGCGAGCTCCAGAGACATGCCCGCTGGCCGCCAGCTTTAGAATAAAAGAGAACAGTATGCTAGCAGCTGCCATGCCAAGTGTTCACTTTGAAGCTCTTTCATCCATTTTGTATTGAAAGAGAAGTAATATTTATAAAAAGTCTTGCATTTACCTGCATTAGTAGATTGAATTTTTAAAACTCTTTGAAGCCTGTGTGGTGGGTCACACCTGTCATCCTAGCTACTCAGGAGACTGAGATCTGAGGATCGCGGTTCAAAGCCAGCCTGGGCAGGAAAGTCCGTGAGACTCTTATCTCCAATAAACCACTTGAAAACTGAAAGTGGCGCTGTGGCTCACGTGGTAGAGCATTCACCTTGAGCTGAAGAGCGCAGGGACAGCGCCCAGGCCCAGAGTTCAAGCCCTACAACCGACTGAGCTGCAGAGGACTGAGTGCTCAGGCATTTGGGAAATAGAAGATGGATATATGGGAAGAGCATAGACTTTTTTGTTTTTGCATTTTATTTTATTGTAGAGGGGTGATGTACAGAGGGCTTACAGTGGCAGGAGGGAGGTAATGAGTACATGTCTCTTGGAACGGTGTTACCTCTTCCCTCGTTTTCTACCACTTTCCCTCCCCTGTCACCCCCCCCCCCCCGTTGTAAATTTCATTTGAGCTTTTGAAATCAAATCACTTGTCCTGGGTTGAAGTATTGTGCTCACCAAATAGCACCAGGGTAGTCTTGGAAAACTTTGTTTGACTTTTCTCAGCTGCAGTTTCTTCAGCCTAAGATGGACATAGGAGGCCTACTTGGAGAGTTGTGGTGAGGTCAGATGAGGCGTGACTTCGGTGAAGAGCCTTGTGATGCTGATGATGTTGGTAATGTTGGTGATGATGTCATGGCCAGATCAGATACTTGTTGATGGTTGGATAATATGGAAACGCGTCCTGCAGGCACTAGGAGCAAACTCTAGAAGACAGTGGTGGACTGACCCGGAGATGCAGGCTTGGGAAGAATCGTCTTTTGTCTTTGGCTTGCACCTGGAGGCCCTCATAAATCACAAAGTATCTTACCTGCTCCTTTTGGCTCACTTCTGGCCTTATTTCTCACTTATTTTTTCTTGGCAAGGAGATAGCATTGTTAACTCTTGGAGTTCAACTACCTTCCGGTAATTATGAAGATGATGGTATTTGAATGACTTCAAACTCAATATTTAGCCATAAAGAAACATTCAAGTCTACTAACAGAGTGTGCTTGTGCTTATTTTTTTCCAGTGTGTGAAGATCGCATATTTTTCTGCCATTGCCTCTACTAAGTACATGATTCTTTTAATCACAGAAAAAATGGATAGTGAAACCAAGTAACTGTGATTTGAATTTAATCAATTCTAATTCATTTTTAAGTTTTGTATTGTAATTCTTCAGTTTTGCACTTATTTATTTTTACATTCCTTGATCGTTATTGTTGAGGTGATGTACAGAGTAGTTACAGTTACATAAGTCAGATAAAGAGCACATTCTGTAGGCAAATGAAGAGACTTTGAAAAATTATCTTAAGTGACGTGAGCCAGACCCAAAGACACAGGTTGCAAGGTTTCCCTCAGTTGTGGTAGCTAGAATGTGCTACAAATCTACAAGCAAACTCACTGGGTGGTAAAAGAAAGAACAACAACACTGGGATGTGTTAAAGTATACAAGTTTCTAGGAATTCACAGAGTGAGAAGAAGGGAGATGATCGCAGGAGAGGATCATAAAGGCACAATAGCCATGCTGCATCTGAATATATAAAATAGTATGTGTCGACATGAACTCCGGGAAATGGAAAGAAGAGGTTTTTTTTTTCTTTGTTGCTGTTTTTGTTTTCTTTTCCTTTTCTCTCATTTGTTCATGTATCTGCGTGGGGAGGGGGACAGAAAGGGTGAACAAATGCAGCAGTGGTACCCACAGACACGATGTGGAAAATGGACTATACAACTTGTGGGTGGCTCTGGGAGGGAAAAACTGGGAGGGAACGGGACTGGGGTGACAATGTTCATAACGTGTGTTTTAAACCTAACTGTTTGACGTTGAGCCAGGGGCCTTGAGAGTTAGGTTACCATGAATGTCTCGTCTCCTACCACACCTGGGGGCCTGTGATCCTGGAGAAGCCCTAAGACGAAGGTGTAGGATATCAAAGGAGTTTAAAGTGTTGCCTGAGCAGATGTGATCACTTCATTTCCTATGATTATTCAAAGGCTTGTAGTAAGTACAGATGTGAAGAATGTTCCATTTCGGGATCACCTTCACTTTCTTCTGTTTTTAGGGATTATCGGTCACTTGTGGCACTTCAGATTACAAGCTCAGGAAAGCTCTTTGGCCCCTTATTCAAGTAGGTCTAGGCCCTATGAAAACAGATCTATAGACCATAGTTTTCCTTAAGGAATACAGATTTGTCTTCTACTAACAGGCCCCCTAGTGGTTGATTAGAACCATGTGAGGATTCAGCTCAAAACACTGAGCCGAAGTGGCCTGTGCTTCCTGGGACAGTGTTAATTGCCAGCATAATATATATTGTATATCTGGGCCTGGGTGCTGTCCCTCAACTCTTTAGCTCAAGGCTAGCGCTCTATCACTTGAGCCACAGCGCCACTTCTGGTTTTCTGGTGGTTTGTTGGAGATAAAAGTCTCACAGACTTTCTTGCTGGGCTGGCTTTGAGCCACAATCGATCCTTAGATCTCAGCCTCCTGAGTAGCTAGGATTACAGGCGTGAGCCACCAGCACCTGGCGACCAGTATATATTTTATAAGATTTTCTTTTCCTTCTATGTCGTAACCAGTAGCTTTAAGAAGGCCACTCTGTTGTTATCCTGGGTATCCAAGTGAGTGAAGAGAGCCAATCCCCAATGGAACTACATCATTGAAACATAGTCTGTGTTACTTCAAGGTGTTGAGATGTGGAGGTTATTTATTAATGCATCATAGCTAGCCCTTACTGATCGAAACCCTAGAAAGATGCTTCATTGTACTTTTAAATCATCTGACATCTCACTTCATTCTTCCTTTTTTTGAATTCATATTTAGAGCTTTAGAATTTCAGAGCTGACAGAAAGCATAGGATTTATTTAGTTTTAGTCCTGGTTGAAAATTAGACCCACCCAGTGCAACTGATTTCTTTCTTCCTGCACAACAAACACAGTTAAACCAAACACAGCTCCTTACTTCTCAGGACTTCCACATGGAACATCGTATTTAAAAGCGTATGTTCCCAACAAGATTATTCCGTAAATCTCTTACATACTTAGTTATGTTTCTCTTTCCCTTCCTTCCTTCCTTCCCTTTCTTTCTTTTCTCTCCTTCTTTCTTTCTTTCTTTCTTTTTTTTTTCTTTCTTTCTTTTCTCCCTCTTTCCTTCTCCATCCCTCCCTCTCTTCCTCTCTTCCTCCCTCCCTCCTTTCCTTCTTTCCTTCCTTCCTCCCTCTCTCCCTCCCTCCTTTCCTTCCTTCCTTTGAACAAAGCTGCAGAATAGAAGCACCAAGAAGGATGTGGAATATGTCAACTGAGTGCATTTACTGTCCTTGAAGTATTTTTTCTCCACCAGTATTAGATACTATGGTATCAGGCTTTGAAGCCTGTGTCTGTCCCAGGGTTAGTCAGTGAGGAATGCTTACATGGCTTATTTAGAGCAGCGTAGTGCCGTGTATCATGTGCTTTAGTGGAGGGTAGTAGAGGTGCAGCAGGAGGATATTAAATAATCAGAGCTCTGGGAGAATCACCCTTACATTTCCTAACACACACAGCTGTGGGAAGTGTGGGTGAGATCGTATTTGTAGAAATTGTCAGTACATGCCATAAAATTTAATTCATTATTCTCAACATTTGCTTTGCTTTGTTTGTCTTAATATCACCAAACGGGGTAAGTTACCCTACATACTATAATAGTGCTTACTAAGTTAAACGAATGGATAAATACTGGTCATGTGCTTGCTTGTGGAGATCTAAGTTTTACCATGAGATACAGACCCCTTTATCAAACCTTCTAAGCTTGGCATCCTGAGAGTTCATGTGAAGTCTGTGTAATTTGGATACCGGCTGGGATCTTCCTGTCCCTAGACACATTCCTTCATCACCACGGCCTCTCCCGTGACTTTCGTTTACGTGTCTGTGGTCTCCTCTACTCGCATCGGCCTCTGACTGTGCTGTTCTTGTTCTGGCCCAAACCCATGTGAGTGCGGAGCTCAGCTTCAGAACGCCTAGTTTCACCCGGAGTCTCTCGTGTTTAATCCCTCCGTTGAGTACTCAGAGTGCCACAGGAGGGGTTTCATCGTACCCATACAGACTCTGCCACCCCGCTGGCTTCTGTCCTCATTTAAAAAATTTTTTTGGTGGGTCGTGGGGCTTGAACTCTGGGCCTGGGTGCTGTCCCTCAGCTCTTCAGCTCAAGGCGAGCGCTCTACCACTTGAGCCACAGTGCCACTTCCGGCTTTCGAGTGGTTTATTGGAGATAAGAGTCTCACAGACTTTCCTGCCTGGGCTGGCTTTGAACTGTGATTCTCAGATCTCAGCCTCCTGAGTAGCTAGGATGACAGGCGTGAGCCACCAGCGCCCGGCTCTTCCTCATTTTTAACTCTTATTTTCTTTCCTGTTTCCTTCTAAAAGAAGTCTACTTCTCCCTTTGCTCTTGAAGAACCCATTTCTTTGTCCTCTCTCTAGGTGCCTAGTGTAAATATCTCTCCCAAATAAATTCAGTGTCTGTTCTTAGATACTTTCGTATCTAAATTAACACAATGTTCGTTAAAATAGGCATGAATATATTTTTCATTCTGTAACTAGGCAGACCCATATGAAAATGCTCTTTGAGTTTTCTTTGGCAATTTGTATTTCTTCAACATCTTAGTACTACTGAGAGTCATCGTAATCTTTGGTGAATAGAGAGGGGCCCAAACTGCCTAGCCTGATGAGAGATCATACAGGGTGCTTTATGACCTTTAAACCTTCCTTTACCTCAGACTTGAGATCTGGAAGGTTCTGGTCATAAAACCCTGCTGGGCCTACTTACAAATTATATAGCTTGGGAAAGCCATGTGCTCCAGCTGATACAGGGATGGGTGGTTAGAATTAAGGTTGAATTATGAATAATATCTAGTAGCTTAGTATTTTATCCAGGCAGGTGATGCAGGTTGCTAAAACTAAAAAAACGACCCCAAACAAACACAAAGAAGACCCTGAACTTCAAGAAAAGCTCCACGATCTTACGCAATCATTTCCTACTGGCAAGCAGCTGAAAGTATACAGATATCTAACAATAAAACTATCAGTTAGAAATAAAAGTCCTTCTCCCAGAACACACAGCATATGCAGATGGACGCCGAAGTACAACATTAAACTAGGAACTTTCCAAGGAGGCTTTTCGTGCACGGGAGTAGAACAGCCCGTGCTCGCCGTGGTTGGCGTGGACTGATGCTAGGAGAAGACCCCGCCCTCTGGTCTCTCTGGCTGGATAACGCCTCAGTGACTGCTGGGTGTTCCTTGAGTTGCATGGAAGTCTCGATGGCGTCTATCCAACCTTTCCTCCGTCTCTTCTTCCCACAGGATCAGCCTTGCCTTGTGGGTTGATGGCTATTACAATCTTATCTTCTCTCTGTTTTCTCTCACACACGTATTTTCCTGAATAAAACCCTTCCATGTTTCACCTCACTTTGGCATATGACCTGGAGGAAGTAGAAGTTGTCCCAGGACTTTTGGTTAGTTTCATGGATGGGTTTCCTGGCCCTAGGTGGAGGGCATAAGAGTTAGTTCAGTGTCAGCATACCCCACCCCGGGGAGACCCCTGCTCACCTTCCCCGCAGTAGCAGCCTCTTCCACGACAGATGCCCGGTTTTAAGGAAGCAACTTCCTCTGGGTTCAGCTTTATTTTTTTTTTCCTTAAACACTTTTATTATTTGGAAGTGTTGTTTGCAATTTTACAGCAGATCAGTGTTTTGAATATTATTTTAAAAATATGTTTGCTGAAGTAAGCCAGACCCAAAAAAATGTAGGTCCCATGGTTTCCCTTATTTGTAATATCTAGTATATGTATGAGTCAAGCGGAAAAGGTCAGATAATGTGATGTCAGGAAAATGAACCCTTAGATGAACCCTTTAATGTTTTTTTCTTTCATGCATGTGTTTCTAACACATTTATAAGATTATCTCTTTGTTGCTTTGTATGTCCCTCCCCCACAGTATAACCCCTGCTTTCACTATATTTGATGTCAGTATAACTTGTAGAGGAGATGGGGAAAAACCAGTTGTTTCAGGATACAGGTGGACCTGTTGCAACAATGAGAAATACAAGTTGTCATGTCCAAAACGAGCTTTACAACGTTAGTGCGGGGGGGGGGGGGGGGGGAGGAGAAGGATTGGGATTAGGGGGGGAGGGGGGAGGCTGGGAAGGGATGTGAAGGGTAAACAAAGGAGGAGGCTGCAATGCTTGATAAGAAATGTACACATTATCCTGCCCATGTAACTGTAACTCCTCTGTACAGTATGTTCACAAATAAAATTAAATTAAATTAAAAAAAAATAAAAATATGTTTGCTTTATTCTCTGCAGAACAAGGGCACCATGTGTGACTTTCAGTAGAGAAAACTGAAGGAGCCAGCATGTAGAGAAGGGAGTTAGAATGCCAGGTCAGTAAAGAGGACTCTGAAGAGGAGAGATCGCAGTGGCAGGTGACCTTATGGAAAAGCAAACATTTTGTAAGCCATAGCAGGAAGCATCAAAGCCAAACGGAGGGAGGAATTTGACCCCCAGGAAAGGAAAATGTTATGGAGTAATCCCTGAAACAGTTTTTTTTTCTTTTTTGGTGGGAGGGGAGAGACTCCCAACTCTTAGTAGTTCCTAAAGTTAATGTGCACAGGAATCTTTTGGGAATAGATTTATTTGTCTCTGCAGACTCCAGCAGAGACTGACGAGGCCAGTCGGTTACTGCTGCATTTACAAGAAGGAGCTTCTATCAATAAGCTCCAGCACGGGGCTGGGAAGGTGGCTCCGTGGTAGAACGCTTGCCTTGCATGCATGAGGCCCTGGGCTCAGTTCCTCAGCACCACATAAGCAGAAAAACCCGGAAGTGGTGCTGTGGCTCAAGTGGTAGAGCGCTAACCTTGAGCTGAAGATCCGAGGGACAGCGCCCAGGCCCAGAGTTCAGACCCCCATGACCGACAGGAAAAAAAAAAAAGCTTCAGCATTATTCTGTGAATCATAATTTGAAACAAATGATCCCAGACAATATGTCTGGTATGGATAGTTTTATATTCAGGACACCATCTAGAGTCAGAGAGAGGGTGGTCTGAATGAGGCTTGCTTTCTAGAAATGAATTATTCATGCTGTTCTAAAGGTATCCAGACATTCGGGGGAGGTTTCAAGCGATTTGTAAAATTATTCAAGGTGATACAGTTGTTTCATAATAATGTTTCCTTAATGCCACGCTTCCTTCCCACTAGGTTTCCCATGAACCTAACAAGTGCCTCTGAGAAGTAGAAGCACAGGTACTTCACGGGTATTTCCTGCATAATGGTTATCATTCACTGGAGCTAGTTGGGAGAGTCCATCAGAACAATGTCCCACGGGTGGTCTGGCAGGAAAGCCTCTCTAACAGGGTCAGATGGAGACACTTTAGGCTTCGTGTGCCGCAGAGTTGCTGCTTGCAGTACTCAGCTCTACCACTGATAAATTAGGGGGTGTGGCCAATGAAATTATTAATAAACACAGATGGTAGGCTGGATTTGGTCCATAGGCAGTAAATAGTTTCCTGACTTTTCTAATAAGGCTTGATAATTTCTAAAGTTATGATTAACACAATGGATTGTAAACAGTCTTTCATATTTGGGGAAGTAATTTTTTTTTTTAATCAAGCACTAAAACTATATGCACATTTGGGAGTTTTAAAGGAATATTTATTTATTGTCGGTCGTAGGGCTTGAACTCTGGGCCTGTGCTCTTCAGCTCAAGGCTAGCGCTCTACTGCGCGAGCCACAGTGCCACTTCGGGTTTTCTAGTGGTTTATTGGAGATAAGGGTCCCACGGACTTTCCTGCCTGGGCTGGCTTTGAACCGTGATCCTCAGATCTCAGCTCCCTGAGTAGCTAGGATTATAGGCGTGAGCCACTGGCACTTGGCTTCTAAAGGAATTTATTTTTAAAATAAAGAAATTGAGTATAAATGGAACAAACTGGTGTAATTTTAATGAACATTAAAGAAAAAGTTCCCCTTGGTAGAGAGTGAGAATGTGAAGGGAAGAAGGCAGGCTAAAGTTAAGAATGATGCTCACACAGGCTTGAGAGACCTAAGGAAGGAAAATCTGCCTTACTGTTCACCTTCCTGGACCCTTGGCCCCTCGTTAGAGGTTTTAGTCTGGTTTCCCAAACCAGTGTAACTTGTCTCTCAAAGCCCAGTTCATAGAAAGAGCATAGCCGAATGTTTATGGACAACGTTTATGGACATTGAATTGCTTGTATCTTATTTTAGTCTTCTGTTCCAAGGAAATGTTTGTCTCTCCTAACTGATATGCTTTCTTTTATCAGATGGCAAAGATCAACATTCAGTTCAGCATTTTGGCCTGGTGTTCTGTAAGGTTGGTGCTACACACAAGGCTCAATCATTATGGTTCGTCTACTTGGTAGATAGTACTTTTCCTCTTCAATTCTTATTTTTTCAAAATGTCCATAATTATCTTTCATGTTGTTGTTGAAACAGTTTCAGTATACTGCCCAAGTCAGCCTGGGCGCCATATCATCCAGGCTGGGCTCAAACTTACAGTGGTCTCTACTCAGTCTTGCCTAGTACTGAGGTTATAGGCAGAGGCCTCCATGTTTGATTACTTGACGGTTATCTTTTTTGTTTTGTGTTGTTTTTGGTTGGTCATGGGACTTGAACTCTGGGCCTGGGTGCTGTCCCTCAGCTCTTCAGCTCAAGGCTAGCACTCTACCACTTGGGCCACAGCACCACGTCTGGTTTTCTAGTGGTTTATTGGAGGTAAGAGTCTCACGGACTTTCCTGCCTGGGCTGGCTTTGAACCGCCATCCTCAGATCTCAGTCTCCTGAGTAGCTAGGATTATAGGCGTGAGCCACCGGTGCCCGGCTGACTCAATGGTTATCTTAAGTGTTAATATCTAGATATCTTTCACTGTAATTTCCTTTAAATGAATATTTTTGGCCTATCTGAAATATAAACCAAATATTATAGATAAAATCAAGTAGTTCATATTTCCATGTAATGAGCCTTCAAAACTAACGTGCTAAAATAAATGATTAGTAAGTACTTTATTTATAGTAGATGTCTTATAAATAAGTGTATTGTGGATGAAGTTATAACCTTCAGTTCTAAAGTCCATCCATCCTGGGCTCCAACTTGAGCTTCATCTAGGATTAGACATGTGATTTTGTACTTGTTATACAACTGCTCTGAATCTCAGTTTTATATCTGTAAAGTGGGTATAACAGCTGTTTTCACCTCAGAATTGTTGTGGGAAGCAAAATATAATATATATGATGTGTACACAGCACAATATCTGGCCTATGATAAGCATTTCACATATTATATATCTATTATCTATGTTTTTTAGCTAGCTATTATGGCATCATTACTTATATTCTTATCTTACTTATTTTATTTATCTTACTTATATTCTTTTCTGCCCCAAATGTAAGCAATGTAACTATTTTCTTAACTTATTTGCTTATCAGTGAGCTTTATACTCGGAGTATTTGTCATTTATAGGGTTGTTGTTTTGCTTAGTAATGAGGCCCTCCAGTGTTTTCGGTTTGGTTTGGTTTGGGGCAGGGTTTCAATCCTCCTGAGGGCTGAGTTTACAAGCGTGTGTCACCACCATTTTCCGCAGTTCAGTGTTTTTGAGTGATCCTAGCCAATGGCGCACAGCAGCATCTGAGATCTATTAAATAATAGAATCTCTAATGATAATGATAATAATAATAATAGGACCACTGCTGAGTACTTTGTGCAAGAGTTTTCAATACCTTACCGCTATTAAAATTGTTCATAATTTACACTATGGATCCTGCTTCTCATTCTGTGTAATTCTATCACATAGCTCAAGCCCTATCCAGACTGAGAGTGCTATTGAGCTGGGCGGGGCTTATTTAATTGTACTTTTCTCCAAAATTAATCTCTAATTACCTTGAGGGAAGGGTGAAATGGCAAGGAAATAATTTTGGTTTTACATGTAGACCTCATTCTCCTATTTCCCTACAATTAATCCTTTTACTTGTCTTTCTAACGTGAACATTTAGAGTTAATATTATTTCTTGTAGCCTTCTTTTTCTTTAAGAGGTACTGAGAAAGTAAGAAAGCCGAAAAAGTGGTTTGCAGACAGATCAGAACCACTGGAAATGGAAAAAGAAGGCAACAATCAGAGTGAAAAGCCCCAGGACTTTCAGCAGGAAGGGAGATGGGAAGCGAGATGAGTGTTTTAGAGCCCGTGTCTTTAAGGGCTTTAGTATCCGTTGCTTCTGCGTGAAGATGGCATTCCTAGCACCTTCCCATTTCCCAGGCCCGACCAGCCGGTACTGATAGGAGTTGCAAGGCCCAAAATAGAGTTTCACAGCCAACTTGGGATCTTTGAACAAGAGAGAGGTGATGTCGGGCTTTGCTCCTATCTCTAAAGCGAGCTCATCCAGGTAGTCGACGTAATTGGTCTGCAGTATCTGGCTCTGGCTTTTCCCAAACCTGAATGAAGAGGGCGAAAAAGACATATCATAAAATGTTCTCACTTACGTAAGAATGAAAGGCCCTCAATAGCAGTTGAGAAAAGTGGAGGGAAGTACGGACGGACGGATGAATCGCTGTAAGCTTAGCCCCACAGGAGGCCCCGACTCAGCCGGAGAGTAGGCTACAAACTAGACATGGAAAGTCTTGAAAATGAAACTCTACTGATCTAATTATATTGAGAACTTCAATTGGCATGGAAGAGTCATGCATCTGCTCTAAGT